CTTGGTTAAATAAAAGGTAAAAATAGCAGCTCAGTTATAGAAAGGGAAAGACCTGTCGTAAGATGCAACTTATTACGTCTTCGTCACTTTCCGGCATTTCGGCGGACCTCGTGGTATGTTCCTATGAGAACAGGAAATTCTCTAATACAAGCCTGATGTTTTATCAATGATGACCGTCACACTGCCTATGCATAATTATGTAGGCTGAAGTATTTGGGGCCATTCTTATTCATTTTTCTGATTTCTGTATTTTATAAATTTCATTCTAAAATAATTTTCTTTATTGATTTCATCACAATAATTCCTTTATCCACTTCTGATTCTCTATTTCCAACTCATGAAAAACCACTGCCTTTAGATGTAGGTGGCTTAAAAAATTAACTTAATGCATAAATATCTAAATGGAATAACATGCTGCATAAGTCTCATCAGAAATAAATAGTTTTAAAAATCATGCAGCTGCAATAATTTTGAACGCTAATATAGCTACAAGATTTTGAAAATTTCTTAAAGAATATTTTATTCTTACCAGAAGTAAAAGAAACTTCAATAATTTGAAATAGTAAAAAATAATATAAATTTTTTCACTTGGCCGACAAAAACTGTAGAACAGAAAATAAGTAATTACATACCTTTAAAACAAATTGTGGATTTTGTTGAGATAAAAGAAAGAAAAGTTAAATTATGAAATAAAAACTTGAAAATTGGTGTAATATCTTTCCATATTCCATTACTATTTATTTTTTTAATTCATTTATTTTACTCGTAATTGAATCATAAAAAATATACCTCATAAATGTTTCTTTCCCCTCATTTTGAAACTATAGACATTTTGCGCATTATTTTCCTGGATATAAGAAACTTCAATTGAAAATTATTAACAAATAACAATAACGATATTATAATTTAAAACAGTTATAGCTATTGAGTACACAAATATACAAGTACATGTTATTTGCACATAAAAGCAATAGTTTTGTTTTGAAATATATATAGGGGTGTGCATTTATTCTGCTGTTTCAGATGAAGAAATGGCTCTGCACAGGATATTCGAAACTAGTAGCTACAGACGTTATGTTTCCTTATATGCTAATGTTAGCAACGTAATTATAAAGTTACTGAAAGTAGAAATTTTATTGAAAGAATTTTGACACTGAAGGTAGATGAGTTTTTTAATATAAAATTTAATTTCTTTTGTGGTGTTCATATGTACAAAAGCTGTCTAACTAGGATAGTGGCTAGTGATTCTAACTTCCATATCAAAGAGCTTGGGTTCGAATCACGGAGAAGGCATGGATATTTGTAAATGTATGGTGTCTGTGTGGCATGAGGGCACTCAAGCAGTGAGCTGAAATTTCTTTCAAAAGGTTGATGTAGGGGAAGAGGGGTGGAAGACCCTTGGGCCCCCCCAGAGTAGTCCCTTTCAAAATTGGGGGTGGAACCGAGCCATACTGTCACCTGTATGGTGCCAAGGCTGTTTGTTGCCAACAGTAGGTGCAATCTTTCCTTTTTTCCACAATGAATTTCGTGGGCTAGTTCTGATATCAGACAAGCAAAATTAGTCACAACAACATCATGTACAAAATATCCACTATGTTTTTAACAATTTAAATGCAAAATCTGTAGAGCTATATAACAGAAAGAATATATTGTATTTGATTACTTAAAAAAAAAAAGTAATCAAATACAATAACTTTCGCTTGGATAGAAACTAGAAATTTGTGATAATTAATGATTGTATATTCGGTTAAAATTCTGCTGTTTTTTATAGCTAAGCCCATGAAACTATCTATTAATTACAACTATCTGTTAATTTTGCATGCAAGGACCATTAAATATTTATGAAAGCCTCATAAACATTTGACTATGATATTTTGTTCTACAAGGATTTAGAAAAACATTTTACGTTTATTTAGAATAGTGTTGAAATGTTTTAAAAAATTTTCAACCTTAAGGCTGCCCAAACACTTTTTTCATGATTTAACTGCTTTAATACATACTGCTGCATGTTATTAGATGCATTCTTTTTCTTTCATAATTCAATAAAAATGTTATGGCTGATTCATAAATTAAACATATTTTAATGTCAAATAGTTTCCTTTTTCTGTGAAAGTAATGAAAATATATATATATAAATGTAAAACAGTAAAAAAAAGATTAACGGGAAGTATGATGCTGTTTCCAACAGATTTTGAGACAATGTTATTCTTAAATTTAGTAAGACATCTAATCGTTTAAAAAAAAAATTATTTTTTAGAGAAATAAATGTAGAGAAGTCTGTTTCACATTTGTAAGTTGTAACAAAAGGCATTAAAAACTTAATAGCTTTTGTGCTAAAAACTAGATACTCTTGATGATGGTATAGCCAAAAATCTATATCCATACTATGAATTGCAAGAAAATTTTCTTTCAGATTTATCAACAATCCTATCAAAAGATATCAATCGAAATTTTATCAGAGATAGAACTAATGTTGTATTCTTTTTGCACCTTAGCTTTATAAAAAGCACTAAAATTTACTGCTTTCTGCTTCCACACAAAGGGGTCACAAACTGAGCTTATTCACTGCAGCTTAAGTCTTTTCTTGCCCTTTAAATACTGTTAATAAATACACTATTGCTTTGTAACAAAAGATTTATTAAAAAAAATAAGTACATCACAAAGAGAAGAAAACTTCATTAACCAATTAACTCACTAAAACTATCTTTAAAGTCAAATACTGCATAGTTGTCTCTTAGAAGATATTGGTTTAAAAGCATTAAAAATTCTCTCATTTCCATGGCTCTTCAGTACTTCCTCTGAATAACCATCACACTTTACATTGTAAAAGATGTTCACCTTTACTGCCCTTTTTACACAATGCATTGAATAACTGAGACTTCAAGAGACAGTTTTTTTTATATAATTTATATACTCTCTCTAATTAAAAATTTCTTTTGCTTTGATCTTGTATTCAATGGTCTGCAAAATAGAAATTCTTTATTAGATGCATTCTTTAAATCATATCTGACACATTAAATCGGTATTGTCCGATATGTCTGTACATTCATTGACTTGAACACGAAAAAAAAATTGCTTTTTAAAGCAAACTACAACAGTTTCTTCGATATTATCTGCTATTTCAATGATTGTGTGAGAGATAACATATTTATCTGGTTTTGCTGTCTTTTAATTACATGTACGAGAAACCAACATTTTGACTGCAGAAGCTTTTCCTCAATTGTATGATGATATATAATTTCAGCAATTAATTGGGATATTTCATAAAAAATCATACTTAGATTTCCAGGCTCGTGAGAAAAATTCAAAGACAGTCTGTTTCCCAGACATTAATTCTTACTATTTATAAATAAATCTATTGGCTTATAATCATAGTTTGGGTGCTCTAAGTCCACATGTTGTTTCAACTTTTAAGGTGTCATGGATTTGATAAGGCTATATAATATAACACACAATGCTTTTTCATCAGCACCTTTGATAAAGCCAAATTTTATATAATCATCAGAATACTATCCAGGAGGTTCTCTTCATTTTTGCATGTGTAATGGAAAACACCTCATGAAGCCATTTATTAGTGACATTCTCAGAATTCATGCTTGGCTGTGTATCACATAACTGTTTATTGTCAGTCACATCAACAAAAATTGTTCCTATCTGTGCATCATTTGATTGTTTATAGGTTATATTGACACATATTTTTATTGTTTTAAATAACCATTTATCCATTGATAATTAGATGTGACATAATATAATTAACAGTAAATAAGTAAATGAATGCAGCATCTGGACTAAAAACCAACAAATAATCACCGAGGGTGAGAATAAAGCCATGCTGCCAAAATTGACTAAAATATAGTAGTATATCCTAGCAATGTTTTCTCGCTTTAATTTAGACTTGGTGTCATACAAACACATGGGTTGGATCTGCTGCCATAATCCAGTCGAGACTAATCACGTTTTGACGATGCCACAAATAATATCAAAATAGGAACTAAATTAATAAGGAATGAATTTCAATATCATATATAACTTATGGAAAAATTAAATTACTAAATCTCAATGTCATGTATTGACAAACTATAATATAGTTTCATGTTACTGTATTACATAAGGTTAGCAATTCCATTAACCTGGAGTTTTGCTTTCATAACCCATACCAGGTCGCAACTCAGCATTCAAGAAACACTACTCTAACTCATTAAAGAAACTAATAATGAGCAACAAGATTTAGTGTTATATACCTAAATTTGCCAAACTTTAGTTTTAAAGGTTTATAGAAATGTTTTCTTCAGCTGGATAATTCCCTTTCTTAAATTCAATTCCTACCTTATTTAGAGAAATTTAGATATACAAAGAACAATCAAGGTTCAATGCTCTGACACAAGGCTCATTAAAAAAAAAAGTACCACCTCACTGGATTTAAATTTGGCCACTACTTTCATTGTCCTACAGAACATTTGTGCCATTGCTTGAATAACTTCTAGTTGTTCTATTTTTCTAATGCATCAACCACCACCTACAATCTTTGCTGAATCAATTGAATTTCAGTTTGAGATAATCACAGTTGCCAAATTTAGTTAAAATGTGAAAAACAATGATTCTATCAGAGCAACCTTAAAAATGCATATTTTGAATGCTATATGAATAAACATATCATCATAGTGAAGTACTCAATTTGTTTCTTATTCATTTATGGAAAATGTATGAAGGCTACATGCCTAAGGTAAGCGATGCCCTCAAACGCGATTTTCTTAGAGAAATTGGTTCAAATTCATATTACATGCGAGAAAAAATTGCCGAAACATCCACACAGCTTGGTCATTTGCTATGATTCAAACCAAAATTTTAAAATTTTCAAAGCATATTAAGGTATGCTTTCTTTTTAGAAAGCAAAATACATCTGAATTGGTTTTAGTGAGTCTGGAGGAATTTCAGTTTAAAAATTAAAACACCATCTTTAATAAAGTGTTAAAATTTAACATGAATGAGATGCCACACAATATCTATTATATTATGATTAATTTATTTAAAATAAAATTATGCAAACTGATAACAAAAGCTACCTACTTATCAAATAAGAAGTACAAAAGCATAAAACAATTTTTTTTGTGTGAAGTACAAAGCAGACATATTGAAAATAATTTGTATAGTGCATCATAGAAAAGTGATTTATAGAAGATACATAACATAGTGTTTTTTCTATACATAATACAAGTACCATAAAAATTCTAACTTAAGAAGAAACATCAGACATGCTGTACATTTATATACTATAAAAATAATGTTCTAAGCCACCTTATTATAATTTTATAAAATAGATGATCACATTTATATTTTTCTTGTCATTACATGGCCATAAAATATAAATAATTAGCATTTACAGTTGAATATGTTTGATTAAAAAAAAGTATATTAATTTTAAATACAGCTTCCAAACTATATGCACATTAAATTTTTGTAGAACATTTAATTTTTTGTTATAGCTCAAACTGAGTGCAACCAAGATAGTAATATATACACAGTCCTAGCAAAAATTTTATGAACGATTTTAATGTAATATTATTTTTTTTCCCATTAGCTGATCACAATGATCTCAACTGTACACACATGCATATGCATAGACTGATTTTTTTATGGGATGACAGAATATTATTTGGAAACACTGTTACTGGATACTACTTTCTAAGGCAACATTTTTTTAATACTTATGTATTTGCATAACACTTGATTTCAAGATGAAAGTGCCTTTCAGGAGAGTCTTGCATTAAGTTCAAAATTTAGAATTCAATCAAGATAGAAAACCGTTATCCATGAATCACATTTTTAAAGGAATTGAAGGACCTAATGTCAAAGGTTCAAAAGGATAAACTGGTTGTAAAATAACAGGTGCAAAATATCTAATTTTAACAAAACGGAAATATACATCTTGTGAATGTAAAAAATCCCATACTTTCATCTTTGGATTTCTTAATTTTACATTAAAAGGTCTTTAGTTCACTAATGAATCAAAGTTTTTTTTTAAGTATGAATAGTTATGGTACTAGATTAATGTTCCCAAATATCACTCTCTTCTTAAGTTTTCCAACCGAGCTTGTAGATCAGCATCAACATCTGCAACCGGTGTCTGTTTTGCTGTTGATACACCTACACTTAAAGTACCACCTGTGCTGGGGAGCTCTTTTAACTTATCACTAAGGTCAAGACCTAATTCATCTAGTACTTGGGCCACAATGGCATCACTATAAAAAAAATGTTTGTAAATATTAATATGCATGCTAATAAAGTAATCATAAACTTGCAGTATATATACCGGGTGATCAAAAAGTCAGTATAAATTTGAAAACTTAATAAATCACGGAATAATGTAGATAGAGAGGTAAAAATTGACACACATACTTAGAATAACATGGGGTTTTATTAGAAAAGCAATAATCTGATCAGAAAAGCAATAATTAGCATAACAAATTAAGACAAAGCAAAGATGATGGATGTTCTTTACAGGAAATGCTCAATATGTTCACCATCATTCCTCAACAATAGCTGTAGTCGAGGAATAATGTTGTGAACAGCACTGTAAAGCATGTCCAGAGTTGTGGTGAGGCATTGGCGTTGGATGTTGTCTTTCAGCATCCCTAGAGATGTCGGTCGATCATGATACACTTGCGACTTCAGGTAACCCCAAAGCCAATAATCGCACGGACTGAGGTCTGGGGACCTGGGAGGCCAAGCATGACGAAAATGGCAGCTGAGCACACGATCATCACCAAACGACACGCGCAAGAGATCTTTCACGCGTCTAGCAATATGGGGTGGAGCACAATCCTGCATAAAAATCGTTCCAGCAGGTGTTTATCAGCCAGGCTGGGGACGATGTGATTCTGTAACATATCGGCGTACCTCTCACCCGTCACGGTAGCAGTTACAAAACAAGAATCATGCATTTCCTCGAAGAAAAAAGGCCCGAAAACAGTAACTTTTTTTTTTTTTTTTTGGTTATAATAAAACCCCACGTCATTCTAAGTATGTGTGTCAATTTTTACCTCTCTATCTACATTATTCCGTGATTTATTAAGTTTTCAAATTTATACTGACTTTTTGATCACCCGGTATATATATATATATATATACAAAAAGTATAATAAGAGGCAAAATTAAAAGCAAATTTTCATACCCATCCTGCACTATAGCTGCAGGATTGAAGTAAAACAGACTTAAAGATTATTAAGTTAAAAGCAAATTGGAGTCAAAGCAAGGTTATTCCTCAACAATATTAACATTAGCAATCATGCATAAGAGGTTTAACACAAAATCCAAACATATCAAAATCAAAATAAGAATTCAGTAGTACAAACTCCAAAGATAAAAATAGAAATGTAAAAAGGGAAAAAAATACAAGATAAAAAGATTTAAAAATAATAATTAAATCTCCTTTTACTGAAACTCCAATTCAGTACACATCAGGGGAAAATGAATTAAAGCTTCATGAAAGTCGATTAATATGTTTTGAAAACATGTTTTGTGCTCCTCGTTCATTTGAGCTAAAAAACTGAAAAAAGAATCTATTGAATTTTCTTTTAAGACACTAAAATTCATAAAAAACCGAAAACTGGAATCTCAGATGTACCAGAATTTTCCCTACACGTCTTCGAAACACTTGGTAAAACGCATAAAACATAACATTGTGTTAAATTGACTACTAAAAAAAACCACAAAACTTTACATTATGTAAAAAGACCATTAAAAATATCCAGCTGGTCTAAAATCATTATATGCCAATCCCAATTCAAAAGCAAATAAATATTAAGAATAAAACTAATATACTTTAAAATAAACTGTCTTTTAAAAAACACTCAAAAATTGGGTGGTCTCCAATTAAGCTAAACTAAACTTTTAATTCCAAGGAAACAAAAAACTTTTCGCAAAGATTCGTCGAGTAATAGAATCAAATCTGAGCTTTATAAGCTAAAACCGGAAACCAATTGGAAACAAATGCCAAATTCTGGGTGCAGTCTGGAAAATTATTAGGCTCGAGAGGGTGATCGTCGACTCTAAAATGGCAGAATCTTAAAATGCAGAAAAAAAAAGACTGGCTCAAAGTTGAGGAAAAGGGAAAATATATGTTATAAAAGATAAAAGTCTTCACGTAATCGGGGTCCAGTAAGTCTTAGTAACTAAAAAAAATCCATTTTTTTAGTAGTACCTCATTTTTTTAATGGTCTTTTTACATTTGATTTTTACTTTTTTTTGAGTAGTCAATTTAGCATAATACTATGTTTTATGCATTTTACCAAGTGTTTCGAAAGCATGTAGGGAAAATCCTGGTACATTTGAGATTCCAGTTTTCAGTTTTTTATGAATTTTAGTGTCTTAAAAGAAAATTCAATAGATTCTTTTTTCAGTTTTTTATCTCAAATGAACGAGGAGCACGAAACATGTTTTCAAAACATTTTAATCGACTTTTGTGAAGCTTTAATTATTATTTTTATATTTTTTTATCTTGGTATTTTTCCCTTTTTGCATTTTAATTCTTATCATTTGTACTACTATGTTTTCTTATTTTAATTTTGATATGTTTGGATATTGCGTTAAACCTCTTATACACGTTTGCTACTACAGTCAAACGTCGTTAATTCAGACACCCATAATCCGGAATGATCTATAATCCGAACCTCAAAGCTACAAACTTTCTGTGCATGCGTAGCGTTGACGCATGCGCATATAACCTTTACGGTTGCGAATATGCACGTGCGCATGCGCATAATACGTTTATGAATGCGCGTTTAATGTATAACGGACGGTATAAGCGAAGCTAAAATTATCTAATTCAGTTAATGTTGCAGATTGCGTTGTTCCTTAATCTTCGAATTGGATCCGGCTTATTATTTTTTGCAGACCGTTAGAGCAATTTTTTAAAAGTAAGCTTGAACTTTCGATTATGTCAAATAGAATTTTCGATATATATTTACTAATATGTAAAGGATCTACAAAGCGAAAGTATGTTTTGAAGTCCATTAAACAAAAAGTGGAATTGCTGCAAAAAATTGATAAAGGCATATCCTTCGTTTCTCTAACCATTCCGAAATCTGTTTATCAATTTCACGCTGCTGTCCGGCGGGGAAGTGGGGGGGGGTCGCGGCACACAATGAATTGGAAGTTGATCTGTCAGCACTATCCTTATCTTCAGGGCAGATGTTTTGATTTTATTTGGCTTATAATTCCTTACTAAATGTAGTATTTCATCTCGATGTACTCCGTCTTTGATATGATTTAAATCAAATGCCTCGTCATTATAATTCGCTTCCGATAGTGAAGAAAGTGACATAGAGGTTATTGAAAACGAAAAAATTTCGATTGACAAATTAGGCGGTATTCTCGACACAGCAATTATAGGACTTGAACAGCGGAACTTTGTAACTGAACAAGAAATTATGGCTGTTTATAGAATTAAAGAGAAAGTATTATCACATAAAATGCAGCAACTTAAACAACTTACATTGAAAGAAATGTTTAATAAAGTAAATAAATAAATATTAAGCTTTTTTTTTCTAAATTTTGATACCCTTTAGATCATAATTGTTCTTTATTTCATAAATTACAGTTTCATATTTTTAATTTTATAATTTCTGCATGCCATCTTACCAGATTTAAACTGATGATCTACAATCCAGAAAAATCGATAATTCGGAATCGCCGAAGTCCCAATGAGTCCGGATTAACGACTTTTGACTGTATTAATACTGTTGAGGAATAACCTTGCTTTGACTCTTTAGAATCTTTAAGTCTCTCTCTCTCTATATATATACTGATTGCACTATGCCCTTACAAATACAAATAAAAATATTACACAACATTGAGTCTATTGCAAGTACTGAGTTAGAACTTTATGTACAGGGTGATCTTTTTTAAAGTGACAGTGTTTGGAGTGCCCTATACCGCGATCTAATAGCCGAAATGGCACCAAACTTGGTATTTAGACTAATCAAGACATGGGACATCAAGACATACGTACAGTTAAATTATTAATGTTTATTTATACATTAACTTCCCCAGTGAGGAATTAGACCACATTCAATGTGAGAACCGTTCTCAGAAATAACACAGCGCATCCTGTGCACAACGTTCTCCACAGCCGTATGTAACATATCACGAGGAATATTCTGCACTGTCTTTGTTATGCTGTCCTTTAGAATAGACAAATTTGATACTCCTCCAACATAAACTTGAGATTTCAAATAACCCCAGAGCCAAAAATCGCATGGTGTGAGGTCAGGGGGACGAGGCGGCCATGCAACTGGAAAACTGCGACTGACTCTATCATCAGTGAAGTTTTGGTGCAACAGCTGCTGTTACCTTATTACTAATGTGTGGTGGAGCACCATCCTGCATAAAGATTGTCTGTTGGAGATGGTTTCATTGCTGAAGTTGTGAAATAACAAACATTTGCAGCATTTCGTGGTATCTTTCTGCATTTATGATGCACCTATGGGGTCATGTCGGAGTGTTGGTCTCAAAAAAGAATGACCCAATTACGAATTTGGCTGAGAAACCACACCAAACAGTGACTTTTGGCGAATTTAATGGGACTTCGTGCACGGTGTGGGGCTGCTCAGAAGCTCAAATTCGACTATTTTGTGTGTTTACGGACCCATTGAGATAAAAATAGCACTCATCTCCCCACAGAATGTGCCATGGGAAAGCATCATCAATTTCTACCCTGGGAAGAAACGATAGAGCTAATGTCACTCACTTATCATAATCACTTGGTTTCAGTTTGTGCAAGCAGCTGATTTTGTAGGGGTAAAATTCAATAACGCGCCACAAAACTCTCCATACCGTGGAATAATTCATGTCCAATTGTCGAGCTACACCCCGGGCACTGCTAGTACCAGCAATTGTTTCCTGCGATCCTTTGACAATTGCAGTTGCCACAGCAGTTATTACATCTTCTGATACTCTCCCAGCGTGAATGGTCAGTGACCCCGTTTCCTCGAACTTCAGTTCTCAATTTCAGATCAGTTTGCTCAATTTGCTGGCATCAGTTCTCAATTTCAGAGGACTTCCATCGATTGAAAATGAAGCCAAACAATTTTATAAATTATAAAAGCAGCTGGTGGCAAAAGTTTTCTAGATATTGAAGAAAGAAAAGTAAAAGAATTAATTGAGAACAATGACTGAGAAATGACGAATAAAGGATTGAATAATCTTAGAACACTAGCCGACAGTGAAAGAAGCACTAGTTAAAATGATGACGATGTGCCTCTAGCCTGCAATAAATTAAATAAATTGCTAAAAAGGTATAGGAACTGTATGACTTTGAATGAAGAAAGAAGAGGCCCTTTATGACAGGCATTGAAAAACTACACTCCTTACCATGAAGCTTTTAAAGAGTTGCATCAGTCATTGTCCTCCCCCAAAAAATCATCAGATTTTTAAAAAAATTAATTACAATATCACGCACCTACTTATTAAAAAAAGAATAAAATTCTTTTAATTCACATCTGTTTTATTTTACCTTTTAATCAGAACAATATTTAATTTTGTTTAACTTGCACATATTTTCTTTATTTGAATTTTACCTAATACATTATTTTCCATAGGAAGCTTGCTTTGTGGAAGCGATTTCACTGTCTGCACAAGTATTAATGATATAATCCTTACATTCCCCAAGGATATACTGTATATGTATGTGCGTATCAACTGACATATACAGCTTATAAGATGAAAGAAAGTAACGATACAGTTACTTCCAAAATCTAATATTTTTTATAACTGAGGTTTAAAGGAAATATGTTGTAATATAAATGTATATGCACAAGTAGAAATTACAGATGATAAAAAATAAAGTAAACACGTTTTAAAAAATAAAACAAACCTTTCTTCTTCATCTTCATCATCTCCCATTGCATCATCAATTGTGTCATTTATCATCTCTTCTTTCATATCCATTATTTCACTCTGTTTCTCAAATTCTTGCATTATTTTCTGAATTTGTGGCAAATTTAACTATTAAAAAAAAGATGCGTAACTATAGTACAACTTAAAAACACCACCACATTTAGATCCTGGATTAAAAAAAAAAAAAAGTGAGTGTTAAGGGAGTTCCTAACAAATTATTGCCCTCTCCCGATACAGATTGACTCTGCAAAGGAAAACAGCATTTCATAAAATATCTATCAATAATGCAATTTATTTCCTCTTTAATATTACAGTTCAATATATGATACACTCTTTCACCTCCGTGGTATCATTGCATAAGGTCTCTCGCCTCATTTTATGGATCTTTAAATCTTTTCTTATTTGCTGAATGCATAATTATTTTATTTTCTAATAACTAATAACCCATTAAAATTTCATACTGAAATTTTATTTGAGTTGACTAAGATTCTAAAACTATTTATTTCAAAATAAATATCTCAGAAGGAGGTAAGAAAAAGACAATAAAGAAAAGGGAAGGGGGAACATGAATTTTAAATGTACAAATTTTATCCAAATTGAAGATTGCTTCTTAAGTCAGAAGCTACAGTCAGCTACAGAAGCTACAGAAGAACAGTTAATCAAAACTTTAAATTACTGAAGATAATTACATACTCTTCTGTTACCAGGACCAGATTCAGATATGTGTGTATGGATGCACATTTGAATATATATACATTCACATACATATATATGCACATATGAAACAATTTTAATAGCATATTAATCTACTGAAACAAGTTACCAAATATAAATTATTTGGTTAAAGCAAATTTTCAATGGCTTCACATTTCAATTTTATTCAAATTTTGCATACATTAAAAAATCTTGGATTCTTAGAATTCTACTAAATATATATTAAAAAAACAATAATTAATTAATTTTTTCTCTTCAGTACATTATTTAAATAATGCAATACTGGGATAAAATTTATTGGACAGCTAATTACTATATAGCCCATGAATGACAAATATAAAATCTCAAGCAAAAAACACACACTTTACAAATATATATATATATATATAATATACATAATACGTAGGAACAACAACAACAAAAAATCATACAGCTTGATATTAAATAAAAAAAATATTAAACGGATTGTTTCAGGATGATATTTTATGTGACTTTTATAGTCATTCACAGAAGATACCATTATGGTATGAATTTGAGAAGTCATATCTAGTACTTGTTAAAATTGCCTATATTCCATATTATACTAAATTATTCTGATGCAATAGCCATTTAAAATAATAATAACAAGAGAGGTGTTTCTGTACTAAGTATGCAATACATGGCATTATGGATATTTATTATATGGTATGCAATACATGGCATTATGGATATTTATTATATGGTATGCAATACATGGCATTATGGATATTTATTATATGGTATGCAATACATGGCATTATGGATTTTCTCAACTACGGTAGTAATGAAAGTACTAAAATTATAATTGAACACACCAAGTAACCTAAAAATTCTGGAAGGTTACATTGTTTGAATATGGCACAGGCATAAGGGCTATCTGCACTAGAGCAAGAGTGCCTTCATGAAGAAATTTCTGAGGAAACTGGTTCATATTTATGTTACACAAGGGATAAAAGCACGAAAACCAAACCAACCATGTTCACTTGACTTCAAATCTAAAACAGGTTGAACTACTAATATTCAGTGGTTTTAACCATTCAGCCACTGTTGGGCAAATTCTGGAAGGTCATGTACATCATCTTAAGGAAATGTCATTTTCTGCATAAAATAAGTTCTAGGGCTATAGAGTCATATTTATGACTGCCTTCCATTTCACATACACCTGTTTGGCAGAAACATCTGTTGAATGGAGAAAAGAACAGTTGGATATAGCTAACAAAATAGGAATAGGTTAGGACAATTACAGCAAGAAGTTTGTACTCATAGTATTCTGCCAGTAACAGAGCTTCCAGTAAAATCAGGGTCTAACAAAAGAGTAGAAATTGACAAAAATTTTTTTACAAAGTGCAAAATGAAGTGCGTCAAATACTTCCGCAGTAACATTTGGTGCGTAAAGAAGAGAACATTTTAAGAGCTGCAAATAGAATGCAACTCAGAATTTCACATGAAACAATTGGTAGAACTTTGGTGGGATCTCTGCTAATTTTTACTGTTAATTGGTAACCACCTTTCATGGTCTATGGGATAATACATAAGTTTCTTCAATTTCAAATGCATGTTGGTAACTTCAAATTTTATGAATACAGAGTTTCATATCGTTACAACTGCAATTTAGAAATTATTCCATGGCTCCAAAAGGTGTATGGTTTTTTGGTACTATTCCGTTTTGAGGATTGTAAAAAATAGCAGCGAAAATGTACAAGGAAAAGCAGCAAATCTAGCAAACCTGCCCATTTAAAAAAAAAAAAAAAAAAAAAAAAAAAAAAAAAAAAAAAAAAAAACAGCGTGACAAATCTAGCGTACGCGCTGATTTCAAATTGCGTAAGTTTAGATAGTTCTATATTTCTTAATATGCCATTGAAATACTAGTTTAATTTTTAAATCCTTTTTTTTTTTTTTTGATATCCTATGGATTTAACAATTTAGGAATTGCCCATGAGGAAAAGTCTGCAATAGAATGGGAAAACACTGAATCACCCACTGCTTGGCACGTTTTTAAGAATTGCACCTACTCGCTATCCATGTACACATTGACCTATTTTCACTTAAAAAAAATCTCAGAATTGCACAAAAATGGCACCGTGCACACCCTTGACTTTATCTATGTACACATTGAACTATTTTCACTTAAAAAGTAAAAGAAAATTGATTAAATCCAATTGTTTTTACCCCTCTAAAAAGTGCAAAACAAATAAGTGGGCGATTCTGCACTTTACCGAGAATTTTTTCAAAGAAAAAGCATCATTCATTATAGAAAATTATGTTTGAACAACCAACGAGATGAAATTATGCTTTAGCAATAACTCAGTAGCTATGAGGGAATCCATTCAGTTATGTTTAGCTTTTTTTATATAAATTATAATAATGATCTGAAATAGTTATTTACTCTTATGCTTCCATTCAGTTATGTTTAGCCTTTTTTATATAAATTATAATAATAAAGTATTATATGAAATTAACCTTTGATCTAAATTAAAACAATCTTTAGATAGTTATTTACTATACTTCCTTTCTTGCATTAGGGTTGCCATAATTACTTTTTGGCAGCACTGGCATCAACAATAGTTTGGCGATTTTTTACGATCCTCAAAACGGAATAGTACCTTTTTTGGCCGATATTTGGAATATGGTAACAGGTATTTTGGCGACATTTTGGAGGCGATAAAGGTTTCTACCTAGGACTTTGGTAATAACGTGAGAAGTACTCAGTTCCGATTACGCATTATTTTGTGTGAGGGAAATGAGAGATCATGAGATATGTCATGTGACATTAATGGACGAATTACAGTTCTTTAATCGGAAAAGTGGGTAAATTTGAAAAATTATTTTGTATTAAACTTGATTGTGTGTTGTGTGAAATAGTGTTGATTAATTTTCGGATTGCATGGCACTATGTAAAGTGAATTCTAAATTTGGAGTGTAAGGAAGGGTACGTGGTTTGCTAAAAGTAGTTTGAGTATGGGTGAAATTTTATTAATTTTTATTACCTGGTGAATAGACTGCCAGGTGACTACTGGATTTCGGATTTAGAAATTAGCAGTAGTACTGCAGCCGATTGGAACTGTTTCTGTAGGGAAGTGTGCGTGCCACGTAATGAAGATTCTGAAGAAGATTAGGTAAGTTAGTATTTTTAATCATTTGAGGATATTATTTTTATGCATTGTTCTAAACGTAAGGAGTAAATAAATTAAAATGGCATTATTGGAAAATTGTTATTAGCAATGATTTAGTTTAAAGTAATTAGGATTGTAATTTAATTTTTATTAATTTAATGTATGTGCTTATTTATATTTTAAGTAGTGTTTTTAATTTAATTATATTTTAATTAATGATCGTGATTTTGTGAGTTATATGTTTGTAGTATTTTTGGAATACGTTTGAGTAGTATATGTTGAGTATTTTCATGCATTTTCGTGAAATTTTTCTAATTTATGAGAAAAAAGCAGTGTACATGGATATAGTGAAGAGTGTGCGCAATGCCATTTTTGTGCAATTCTGGGATTTTTTTTAAGTAAAAATAAGTCGACGTGTACATGGTTTAGTGATATTTTAATTAAATGATAGTTATTTTGTGAATTTTATGTTTGTAGGAATTTGGTATACGTTTCAGTTGAAGTAAACGTGTATGGAAATAATTTAAATATTTGACACTAAGTATTTGTAACTATTTTTAATGTTTGCGGTATGAATTCGTTGGTGACGTTTATAATATAATAGATAATTTAGAGGTAAAAGTTTTTGGATATTTTATTTATTTTATACGTGGAAATGTTCATCCTTGGAAAGGGTAGATATTTTTTCGCGATCAGGTAATTTTATATATGCGCTTTTTACCAAGTTTAAAGATTCAAAGAATTTTTTTGCATTTTTCGTGCAAATTTTTGTAATTTATGAGAAAATAGCAGTGTAGATGGATAAAGTTAAGAGTGTGTGCAATGCCATTTTTGTGCAATTCTGGGATGTTTTTTTAAGTAAAAATAAGTCGACGTGTAAATGGTTTATGTGTATGTGCTATTCTGAAAAACGCGCAAGGAGTTTGCGATTGTGCACTTTTTCCCAATTTTGCAGTTAATATTTGTCATGATTAAGCAGTTTTGTTCCATAAAATTTCTAGCATAAGTGTAATTCGGCTAGTAGATTGTTGGAAAAAGTGCTGAGTAAATAAAAAGAAAAGAAACATGTCTTTACTTTGTGAAGACAAAATGGAGGCGAAAAAAAAAATAGAGGGTTGCTGTAGCAGAGTTGGTAGCCAAATTTTCGTCAAAAATTCGCCAAGTTACCATAATCCAAAGATCAACCCCTTTTTTTAATGCTACTCTCATTTATGTACCTTTGATTAATTTTTTTTTCAGCAAGTTTAAAATCTTGCATTATGTTAGTGGAACATTACCTTTTGCGCCAAAACTCAGTTCAACATTTTTCCTTGATAGCAGCATCAACATGGACTAGCAGCTCGCTGTACAACTTTCTGTCAAGGGTTTTACCTTTTTTTAGATATTCTTTGTCGACAACCCCCCACCACAATCCCGCCAGATACAAAGCTTGATCTTTTTTATTTATCAAATTGCACTTTGTGATGCTGCTGACAGGATCAGCAGGGGCAGACCAACCCCTTTTTGTCTCGCGTTGTTGTAGTAAATCCACTTTTCATCACAAGTGACAATCCGGTCCAGAATTTTGTCCTTGTGTTGATATTCGAGCAGGTTAGTGCAAGCCCGAACACGTCTGTCCTTATTTGCTTGAGTCAGCTCATGAGGCCCCCAACAATTAAACTTGTATGTCAAATTTACAAGATGCACAGCATGACTAATGAATGTGGCACTAATGTCTAATTCCTTAGCAAGCTCTCGATTGTTTTGCATACTGATCTTCTTCCAGAAATTCTCACAGGTGGGTCTGATCAACATCATAGGTTGGCCAGAGAGCTCTGCTTCTCTGCTGTTCTAAAGCAAGTCTCTTTCTTTTAAATGCCAAAAATCATTTGACAAAATATGATTAAACATGACAAAACACAAACTGTTTGCACTAATGGGATTTCTGATGGCAGGAAACTTTTGTTACAACCCAATCAAGTCCCCGTAAAACATTTTTAACAATTTACATTCAAGTTACTAAAAAACATAATTTTCGGAATTAAACTTTCTACATATGGGTTAACTCTTTTTAGACATTTCTACTAAATTTATATTAGAAGATAATATAATCAATATTTCTTTAGTAAATAAATTATTATTATCTTACTTTGCAGTTATTGCACAAATATTAGAAAAACTTGTTTTCGAACTAAATGAATTTAAGATCATACAACATTATATATACACTGGTGTGCAAAAATTAAGGACGAGACGGTTTTTTCAATATAACTTTGTACAAAAGCTTTCCAAATCAACACATTTAATACTGTAAGATCCCCAATACGTAAGGACATGAGTAATGTAAGCAACACTTACTAAAAGAGAAATCAGAAAGATAAAAAGAAGCTTTATTGAAAAAGTAGCATGGAGCACAATGCGACTGAAGGCCGAAACATCCCTGTGATGGGTGTCCCGCAAGAAACATCCGTTATTTAATAGGGGATATGATCTCCCCTGACTGCTAGGCAGGTTTCACAGCGTCTGCCCATGCTGAAAATGAGGGTGTCAACGAGTTGTTGAGGCATCACTGCCCATTCGTCTTGCAGCGCCAATCAAAGCTCCGGAATCGTTACTGGTGGTAAGGTACGAGCTGCCAAGCGTATGCCTAGAAAATCCCATACATGCTCAATGCGATTGAGATCCGGAGATCGTGCCGGCTAATCCATACGTTCAATATCCTCACTCTCTAAGAGCTGTTCGGCAGCTACTGTGCGATGACATGGTGCATTGTCGTCCATGAAAATGAACTGCGGACCTATAGCGCCTCTAAAAAGACGCACATATGGAAGAAGAATCTCGTTACAATAACGGGTCCCGTTGACTGAACCTGCGTCGAAGATGTGAAGGTCTGTACGACTACCAAGCATGATGCCTCCCCAAACGAGAACACCGCCACCTCCATACCTGTCCCTTTCAATGATGTTTGAGGGATGATTGCGGCTTCCCCGCTCTCTCCAGATGAGTATGCGATGAGAATCGCTACTCAGACTGAATCTGCTCTCATCTGTAAAGAGTACTCGTCCCCATTCATTGTCTCTCCAATTCCGGTGTTCCCGGCACCACAGAGAACGCCTTCTCCGATGGCCAGGCATTAGAGGTACACACCGTACAGGGCGTCGTGCAAACAGACCACCACTGTTCAGTCTTCTGGCCACGGTAAAACGCGATATCGATCGTCCAGTCGCCTGTGTCGTGTGTCTAGCGATTTCTCTTGCTGTCTGCCGCCTGTTTCTTCTGGCCTGTAAGGCAATATACCGGTCATCTGCGGGTGTGGTTCCTCGTGGATGACCACTACTAAACCTCCGGATAGCTGTTCCTGTAGTTTGAAATTGTCTCCAAAGTCGTGAAACGATGCTGTGAGCAATTTCGAACTCTGCAGCCACACTTGTCACACTGCGGCCTTCCTCCAACTTCCCAATGATTAGACCTCGGGTAAAAGCATCCAGATGTCGGCTAACAGATTGATTATTCGCCATTTCTCGCTGAGGCAGCAACTTGGTGTGATTTTAACTGCTATACGGCGTGCAATCTCTTTGCCAGAAATACTGATCTTACACCGACAACATGATTTATACTACTCAGACACTCCCCCATTACGTCTACCTGCATATCTGTGCATGTGCTACTGTACATCACCTTACTTAATCTCCTGATTGGTCTTTCTGTCCGCTCTGCCTCTTCGTTCAGCTGATATGCTAATTTTTCGACTTCGTCCTTAATTTTTGCACACCAGTGTATATATATATGTAAGAAAAAGAATATGTAAAAGGTTAAATTAGCAGTCTAAATTAATTTCCCTTCTCATTCTAAAAATAGTAACCACTCTCTGCAGTGTGTCATTTCCAGAAAAATCCACTCCGTATGACTCTTACATAATTCTGATGATGTAAACGGAACTAAAACTCTGTAACAGCCAATAATAGTTTTACAGCAATATTAACCATCCAATCAGAATGCTTTGAGAACCAAAACTAACTCAATCTGACTTGAGATTTCATCCTGAACATTACGCACTTGCTTTCCACGCTTCGGCCTATCTATACTGCCGTCTGTCTGCTCTGCTTTCTTGCTACAAAATTATCAAAATTGTAAGCCTTTTAGAACAGATGCATTTAATGTGCCGACTTGTGTACAGTCGCAACATGTTGCCAAAAATAAAAGTTAAGATTTAAATATGCCTTCGCCTCCAATTTGTTAGTCATTGTGGATTATCAAAATTCCTGCTCCCGGAATATATATATATATATATAAATATATATCTGCTTTCAGGAATTACTTGTTCCAGAAACAATATGCACATAAAAACTTTAAGTGATCAGTAATGAAACAAGAAACTTTGTACACAGTAGAACTTTTGAAGGTAATAAGAAATGGGTAGGCTTGATGTGGAGGACTGGGTCGGGAAGGGATAATTTTCATTTTCTATCAACCAACATTAAGAACAATAAATTATAGTTAACCATAAATATTATGCAACAGTTATTTTCATGGCTTACAACACTTTTAATACAAAGATACATAATCTATGACTCATTAAATATATAATCATAATATAGCTCTATTAATACATAATTAAAATCCTAATTCTGTCAATTATAAAAATAAAAATTTTAAGTTATATGAGAAATAATTTTTAAAAAGTCTTTTAAGAAATATCTCAATATATTCTGAATACAGAATTATTTTCATAATAAATCCATTAGATACATTTTATGAAATATGATTTTTACTTATTATAAAATGATTTTACCTGCTTATTCATATTTTGCATTGCTCTTGTTACTCCTTTCATAGCTGTTGCCATTGCATTTTGAGATCGGAGGGTTTGTATTTTAAGAGAAACTGCTTGTATATTAGCTCGCATCAATATAAACTTCTTGACATATCTTCGAGTTCTAACCAAATCTTTAGCCATGATTTTAACAGCATCCTAATAAGTAGAAAAATGCAAGGTTAATAATTATACTAAAGAAATACTCCCACTGAAGTTAGAATAAACATTTAAAACTTAATGTTTTTTGATAGCATACTTAAATACTTAATCAAAACTAAATATTTAAAAAATAAACAAAATAATAATTAATTACAATAAATAATAGTATTCTCAATGAATATTGATAAGCTATTTGTAACAATAAATTATCCAAACATTCGCTTAATATCACAATAAAAATTTCCCATACATTTTCATAAATGTTAATTTATCCAGCATACAAAGAAAGCAGAAAATTATTTTGCACATAAATAATCACTCTCCATTTTTAGGAACTTAAATCACATTTTGTGTCAAAAAACAAAAGGTACATGTACTTATAAAAATCATCCAATAATCTTAAACCTCAGTATGCAAATACTCCTTAGACAAATATGAATACATATATTGGCAGTGAATAAATGTCAGCCAGTGAATGTATCCATTACCTAGAAAGCATGGAAAATGTACACCTTAGCACTTATATTAGGTTCACTGCTTTGCTGTTATGTAAATTCAAACTCCTAATGTGGTACTGTTGCTCACATGAACAAATTAAAAAGCTCCAAAAATGCCCCTGACAAGGTTTTAAAAAAATCGATAAATTCAATAGATGTCACATTACAGCGTTTAGAAAGCTACTTCCCAAAAAGTGATGACTGACATAAATTGTTTAATATAAGGATTAATGCAATGATATAGATAAACAGTGTTGTTACTAATGATTTCAGTAAGTTATCCATACTCATTATGTTGGCAGTGACAAGTGCAAATAACAGAAGGACCATGCAACAGGGACAGTTGACACAAGTATACTGACAACTTTGCTATGTATCACTTAGAATAACTTATCCACACCTTCCGGAAGTGTAACATTCCATTGCGTCCATATACATTATGAATCTGCCACTAACTTTTGGGGACTAACAGCAACATTTACTCTGGTGTTGGGCTATGAAGTTTGGAATATATATTAATTTTTAGTTATACTGTGTTCAGTGGTGAATTATGATTATGAAACTCAGCTCTGTGATTCTTCACAGCACCTTAACAGTTCAATGAAACATCAATGATATTCTGCAGTTGCTAACACTGCCATGAATATTACAGACTGTCTTTCAGCAGGAAAACACTTGTCAGAACATGATATCTTCAGTAAATGTTGGCATTCTACTACAATCTTGGATTTTTAGATCATAAGCTGTTTCTCCAACTAATGCATATGGGACATACTCAGACGTCAACCTTAAAACAAGTAGCTTGTTGAAATGTGAGTGAACCTGTTGAAAAATTATGCAATATCTAGCAACAAATTCCTCAGGACAACATTTAACATTTGGATAGATCCCTGCCATATATACTGAATACCCTTATGCATTGCAGCTAAAGTTGCTTATACATTCATAACTAATATGCAATGACTCAAAATCCAAGTTTCCACAAAAAATGGATTTATCGCTAATAATTTTTAATAATTTTCTTTCTCATCTTTGTTTACTTATTTCTCATGTCCAGGTTTACCATAATCAAAATATTTTTCTACACAAGAGATATTTCTTGTGCTTTATAATTCTTATAGCTTGTTATTTAAACAATGTCAACTTATGTCACAAACAATGTAACCATGATTACTTATGGCTTGTCCATCAACAGAAGAAATCTCAGTGAGACTGCTTTTTTGGTTAAAATCTGGTGATAATTTTGGTGTCATTTATATAATAAGGGTCATATGAAAGTACATGTATTTTTAGCACATAGCATTATTTCTTCAAGTGTCATTGCTTGAAAGTACTAATGTTTCTTAATAAAATTTTAATGCATTATATTACTGAAATTAAAGGGAAGTTCAGCCTTGATGCTTAAGTAGAATTCTTCTAATATCATGATACAAATATATCTTTAAAAGCAATAAAAAAGAATTAGAAATGATTATATTGTTTTAATGAAACTGTAATCCTTAGAAATGTCTTACAGTAAATGAAAATAGTTAAATCTGATATTATACAATATCTTTAAGAAAAAAATTATAAAAAATATTGCACATTCTTTACCAAAGTTGAAAAATGCAAAGTTTAATTAGATTTTTACAGCAGTCAGAAATAACACGTATAGGGCTGTAATAAGGTTAATTTTATATCTAGTACTTTAGAGACCATGAAATTGTCACTGTGATTTAGCACTAGCTATGAATAAACATGATGTAACAACATACTCAAAACATCTGCACTTTCATTTCAGGAAACCCCAATTATTTCTCGAGAAACCACATTTTGTTTTTAAGAAATAAATTAACTGTTATTGCTTTATTTTTCCCCTTGCATTTTGGAAAAATAATAATAATAATAATAATAATAATAATAATAATAATAATAAAATTGGGATCTGCCTTCTACAAAACAAGGAGTGGATTGGTTTCAAAATTACGGTTTCCTACCATTTAAAAAAAAAAAAAAAAAAAAAAAAAAAAAAAAAAAAAAAGTGCGAATTGGACATGTATGGTAAGCTGAATATGGCTTGCAAAACAGTAAAAGACTGACATAATTACTTATAGAAAGTTTGTGCTCATAGCATTCTAAACATAAATTACAGCATGATTGGAAGGCAACACAAATCAATGAAACCCTTTTTACAAAGTGCAAAAATAAAGTTGGTTGAATACTCGTTATTTATTAAATAAATAATTGCCATTTCCTTTGGGGAGTTCTGTAAAGAATTACTGGCACAACTTTATCGGAATCTCCAACAACTTTCATGGTTCAATGGTTATCAGCATTCATGGTTGACAGGTTAATACGTAAATACCCTGTACAGTACAAAATCTGTAATTCGGACGTCCATAATTTGGAATGATCTATAATCCGGAACTCAAAGCTACAAACTTTATGCGCATGCGTAAACACATTATGCGTTTACGCATACGCGTTTAATTTATAACGGACGGTATAAGCTAGGCTAAAATTATCTAATGCATTCCAGTTAATGTTGCAGACTGCGCTGTTACTTAATCTTCTAATTGGATCTGGCTTATTATTTTTTGAAGACTGTTAGAACAATTTTATAAAAATTAAGCTTGAACTTTCGATTATGTCAAAAAGAGTTTCCAATTCTGGAGCTGCCAAAGAATCTACAAAGCAAAAGCATGTATCGAAGCCCATTAAACAAAAGTGGATAAAGGCCTATCCATCTCAAAATTATGCAAAAAGTATGGCATTGGAAATTCCACTATATATGACACAAGAAAAAGGAACTTTTTGAATTTTTTGTGGAATCATCTTAAACAACTTACATTGAAAGAAATGTTTAATAAAATAAACAAATAAATATTCAGCTTTTCTTTTGTAAATTTTGATACCCTTTAGATCATTATTGTTCTTTATTTCATAAATTATGATTTCATATTTTTAATTGCATAATTTCTGCATGCCATCTTACCAGATTTAAATTGATGATCTATAATCTGGAAAAACCCCTAATTTGGAATCGCCAAAGTCTCGACGAGTCCGGATTATGGACTTTGTACTGTATTAGCTATGGCCATTAAAAACTTTTATGAGCAAAAATGATTTATATTTTCACAGCAATATTTATTACACAGAAAATGTACAAACAGTGTATATAATTTTACACTGATTTGTCCAAACAACCAAGCATTAGTATTTCAATAATATTTTTACTAATACTTTTAAGCAATTCTGAAATATGCCCAACAAATAAGGCAGAATACTAGAAGAGGGGGGGGAGAGTTCAGGTGTGAAATAGCAGGAGATTTTGGAACAGGAAAGTGCTTCTTTTTCTTGGCAGTTTCAGAAACTTTAATGTTTTGAAGCCAAACTGGTTGATAGGTTACATTTTACCAGAAACACTGAAAATATTATTGATATGTTTTTTAAGAATATTAAAAATTAAAAAAAAATATGACATTTAAAAGAAAAATTTAAAAAAAAGTTAGTTAATTACCATTTGATTCTCCTTAGCCATTTTTTTAATATCATTTATAATTTTCTTTTCTTGTTGTTCCATTTTTGATCGTTCACGATCAAGGTCTCTCATTGCTTTGTTTAAAGCTCTTTGATTTTGTCTCAGCATTTCTTCAGGCGTCTTTCGACGCCCAAACAAAAATTCTAAAGCCATAACGTCTGAAAGCAAAATACATAAATAAATGAACAAGTAAGTAAAGTATAATAAATAAATGAACAAGTAAGTAAGTATAATAAATAAATGAACAAGTAAGTAAGTAAGTTCACATGCAATAAAACAGAAAGTTTAATACAGTTAAACCTTTCATCAATACACATTCAAATAGTTTTTATCCTTAATCAAGGAGTGTCTGTTAAATGGAAATGTATTTATCTTTTTACTTTGAGGCTCCAGGAATTCAAAAACTGTCTGTTAATGGACACTGTCCATGAAAGAGTAGTGTCTAAATTTGCCAATTATTGGAAATAACCACGACAGAAAGACAACTAATGTCAAATTAAGGTAGTTGTTGATTGTCTGGTATCAATCAATAAACACCATGAACAAATTATTGGTGCATTTTGATGATTAAATCTATTTCTCCCCCAGAGGGTATTATTTGATAAGGGCATTTAAATGGCATCAAAGACATTTATTCTCTGAATCCATCTGAACCATGACAGAAGACAACTGATGAGACAGTCATAAGATGACAACTGATGATGAGCTGTACTACATTTGCATGTGGATACCAGTCTTGAGACCAAAGTTGACACCAAAATAATAATAATAATGAATGCCATCCTTAGCCTCCCCTACAAAAAAAAAAAAAAAAGAGATAAAACATTTACAAGGAATGAAATAAAAAATCCCATCTTTGGTAGAAGAATCTGGAACAATTCCATTGCTGCTAAATGCTCATATGAAGCAGAACTGTGTGTGTTATTTTTGGCACTGGTTACATATAACAAGGTGCATATACATTTCTGCATGTGGAGATTAAATACTTTTAAGGGCCATCAATGAAAAAAGACTCATCAGCAAACAGGAAATAATAAACTAAATAAATTTAATACACCCAAACTTCATTTTTGTAACTTGTGAGAATAAAATAAATCTGCAAGTAGGATGCATTATTATTAAACAAAATTAAGTTATTAATTATTAACAAAATTAAGTAAAAAGTTATAAAACAAATTAAAGAATAAAATCAAGTTCATAAACTTTTTCAAGTAATTAGCATTCATTTATAAATTTCTTCAAACATTGATATTTTACATTTATAACAGTCCTAAATATTTTAAAGAAAATCAGTGATGTTTTATTTAAATGTTACTAGCAATCAGCTTTATATTGATTCTTTCTTTTATGCCTTATTTTGTCGCGTACTCGTTCACTCCAACAATTTACGTAGATTTTACACCTGGTATAAGTTAAACTGAGAAGTAAAATAAAATAATAATCAGCATGAATCATAACAGAAGCTCGGCTGCTGCCTCTATGGCTGCTTGCTCAGAGACAGAGAGCCATTGATTAGAACATGGTAAGCAGAGACATACCTAGGGTGGGGCAAGCGGGGACATCTGTCCCCAGGCGCAGCATCCATGGAGCGCCAAATTGATGCCACGAAATTTTTTAATGAAATGTTTTCCATTCTTGGCACATAGAAAAGGGCGCATATTCTTCAGATGTCCCCAGGTTCTGGAAACTCTAGCTACGTCCCTGATGGTAAGTGTTGAAAGTTAGCCTTTGTCTGACCCAGTTATTGTCGTAGTTTTGTGTAGATTCGCTGGAGACATAACCTTGTTAATACACAGTCTTTAATATAAAGTTCCAACAAACTGCTAAAACACCAAAGGTGATAGGTTGTTTTGTATTATTTTACATCTCATTAGTTGTAAGGAATAAAGTTTTATGTTAATCTTTATATTTTTTTGTTTAATCTTACATCTATAATTAAGACTAAGGAGAGGCAATAACTCACCTTAACATGTAGATATAACTTTTAAAGGTAAGCAGTTAATTACAGATACTTAAATTACATAGTAAGCTGTCCTTAGTCATAATAGATTTATATGGCTCCAATTACAATTATTATTATTATTTAATTTCTAAGAAATATCCATTAAAAAGCATTACGCATATTTTACAGCAGTCATAATTTATGATAATGATTCTAAAATGATATTAGCATTCATTAAAAGCTACAAAAGACCCAGTGGCGCAGTGGTTAGTTCATCGCGCAGCAGCACCGCAGGTCCGGGGTTCGATTCCCGGGCTGGGCAAGGTCGACTCAGCTTTTCCTCCCTTAATTTCCATTCATTGAGTCGATAAAATGAGTACCAAGTTTGCTTGGGGACTAAACACTGGGGGTCCTGTGACAAGCTGACCACTTGTTCAGGGATTATGCTTACACACCCCGGGGCCCACGGTCAAGAAAGCAAATTTCGGGGCACTGCAGCCATTGGCCCGTTAGGGCTGTTACGCCACTGAGTTTAGTTTTAGTTTTCACAAAAAATAAATAAATCAATAAATAAATAATTCCAAAAGATTTATGTTTAAATTGAGGCAGTGTCTCATGCCTAAAACTTGAGTATCCACTGTTTATACTAAGTAGCAGTAAAGAATTTAAACAGTACATTAAATACATATTTGTCAAAAAAATACCATCAAAATATTCCTCAAAAACATTAATTCACACTCAAATTGACAGTTGTAAAAAAAAAAAAAAAAAAAAAAAAAAAGACAGAAATGATAGATGAGTAAATTAAGGACCTTTTGCCAATTTTGCCAATATTATTTAATTATCAAATCCACATAGCTTGCTATATAATTAAGGAATCTAATTCCATATTGTACATAATATATAAAGTACATATACATTTTTCTTTTAATCATACAAATTAATCGGAACAGGAGAGGTAAATAAAGTATGGTTATACATTTTAAAATGAAAATATAAAAAATTAAACAAATGCCAATATTTCCGGAAAGATAAAAATGAAATGCCACCTACAAGATGCACTTCATATAAAAGACAAAAATAATGGAAGTTGCTTTGATAAAACACACTCAAAGATAATCAGAAGTGAAATACATTACTATATGTATTTTATCAGAAAACAGTTGGATGAAAATATTAGGCATGCTTTTTTTATTTATAATAATTTCATTAATTTCATAAACTTTTCTCAATTAAACTTAATGTTATATAAATCTATGAAAAATAAAACAGCACTATGTTTTACTATATTTTTTAAATATTCATGAAACATGAGATTTATATAAATTAAGTTCATATTAAGCGTTAAGTGTTTTTTAAGGTTTTAGAAGCATTTAACAGACACAGACAAAACGTTTGTCTCCAAATGTAATATACTTCTCTCAATTTTGATAAAACTACAGGTAAATTTTAGCTAGTTATTTCTAATTTTAGATAATTTTAAAAAGAAATCACAAAATAATAATAATAATAAAAAAAAATTTAAATGTACTTTTCCACTATGCACCTGTTATGCATTTTGGCATGCCTGAATGTATGTGTGTTTTAACACGTTGAGCGCGGCAGTGAACTTTCCGTGTGGTCGGCGTCGTTCCCTGGAGACCGGCAGTGAACTTTCCGTGTGGCTGGAATTTTCGTTTGGCTGGCGTCAGTCCGCGGGACCAACAGTATTAAAAGTTAAAAAATAAATATAGTCTCAATGAAATGTGATCAAATTTAGTTTTAATGAAATGTATTGAAACATTCTAAACAAAAAAATGGCTTAGCTCGCTACCGGCTGAACAGAAAGGACAGCAAATTCGGTGCCGCACTCAACGTGTTAATTAAATTATTTACATTCTTTTACCTTATTCTGATTTCTATTTAAGTAGCACACACACATGCCTAAAAGATAATGGAAAAGTACCAAAAATTTAAATTACATACACTTCAACATATCTATAACATCAATAATGAATATTTATCTTAAACATCACCTGAAATACAATAAATTCTCTCTTAGGTGACCATCAGTTTCAGACGAGTTTGGTCATCTGTGGATAGGTCACTATGAGATGGTTCATCACATATAATAATGTTAACTGACATTTTGTTTAAACAAGATCCTTTTATTTCCATATGCCTCTAAGTATTAAATAAATACATCCCATTTTCTTCGGTATTTGTTCATTTTATTATTTCATACGGGAAGAAGAAAAGCATAAACGTTTGAATTTACAATTAATGCATAGTTAGCATACATAAGTTAAATATTCAGTTAACCAATACGTCTCCTTTAAACTAACTCAAATTAGTAAATCATTAAGACACATTAATACTTCATATACAAAGAAAAATAGTTTTTGATTATTTACACCTTCACAAGAAGTCAATTTATTAGTGCAGTTTATAAGTTGATGAAAAATATTTATTTAGCCAATTTTATGTCTTATAGGTATTGTATTTTTCTGTTTAAAAATAATAATAAAAAGAAGTATTTTATTAAAAAAAACAACAAATTTAGAGAGGAACAGAAGACAAATTTTATGCTGAATATTTACACTTTAACAGCCAGTGGAAATTATTCAGTAAAATCACAATTAAATATTATATAGCGTATTAAATTACATGCATGCAAACACTTGCACATTTAGCACTTAAGTGCACACCTGAAAATATATCAGACAGATGGTAATCCTGTCAAATGCTGAAACCAGTAGTGAGAATAATTGAAAAGTTCCTTCCAAAAGAGTCACTCAGAGAAGCAAGTAGTTAAAAATAAAATTTCTTTAGAATTTAAATTTTTACATAAAAAAGTCATCATGCCTAATTCTTGAACAGACTTCAAAATAATTTGCAATTATCTAAAAATGTCAATATCACAAACGAGGTTATTTTTTAAAATGATTAATATTTATTAAAATAGTAATCTGAAATAATTTTCTCATATTTAAAAATTTAGGTCGCAATGTACGGTAAATATAAAAACTATAATTAAATTTTACATTCCAGGAAAAATAAGAATAAAAAAATATATGTAAGCTCACTATTTCTATTAAACCGTACACATCTCCAAACACAAATAAATATTGAATGTTATTACTAAAGATATATTTTGAGTTGACTTTCTGCTTTGCAAAATATACTGCATTTCGTGTAAGACTTGTAATATTACTTAAAAAAAAAAAAAAAAAAAAAAAAAAAAAAAAAAGGAACTTCATCAGTCAAAATCCAGCAGATTATAAATGTAATTATATGTAGTTTTAACTAATGCAATCCATTTTCTGTTTATTTCTTTAATACTTAGGTATAACTTTCAAAATATAAACAATATAAAAAGTTTTACTATACAAAACATTTGTCACCTATAAAATTCAGATAAAACACTGGGGTTTCATAAATTTTTTTGAACTACTTAAAACAGGCCTTTAATTATTAGAAAACTGTAAAAATCATTGAATATTTGCAAATCACATTATAATTTATCTCCAAACTCAATATGACATCTACTGATGTAATAATGACAGAACGTAGCGCCGCCTCGCCAGTTGTTTACATGAAATTTCATGGTTGATTGTAAAATTGTTGTATTCTGCTAACCTGTATTTATTAACTTTAATAATGTCTAAAAATTCTGTCCCTTGATTTCACTAGGTATATTACGTAGTTAGTTTAATAAATTCTATGCATGTATTATATAAAATTTTCCTTCCCATTTACCACAGAACGCATCTATGCATTTTATCTTATTTTTTTATTTATTTATTTTTTGCCGTACACATAAATATTTTATAAAAAGTCAATAAAATTCAGCAAAAAAGGTGTAAAAATGAATTTGATGTTGACGAAGTTTCTTTCTGTGTTCATAAAAAAAAAAAAAAATCTACCTTACTTCCGGTTGTACTTTAACTTCCTGTTTTGAATGGAAACAATCTGTGAAATATTTTCTGTTACGGGCAGGAAATCAAATGATCTGTCAAAAATCATAACATGTTATTCTTCTACGTTCTAAATTTCGGGTAATGAAGAAAAATTGTGTATTCGCTAGTATAATTTTTTGTAAACGCGAGTGTGTAGTTTTACTAACGTTATAAAAAGAAAACAGGTGTGTTAAAGCAACAGGTAAGAAGCGCGCTTTTTAAATTGTGTAAATATGCAACCAAATTAATAAATTAAAAAGTACAACTGTTAATTTGCTATTATTTTAGAAATCTTATTGTTCATTTGGTATTAATTAATAATGTGACTTTTGTTTATATTAGATTTTAAATTAAAACTTCAAATTTAAGTTTATGTCTGGGGACGTGGGGGAACTGTTCTCCAATTTCACTTTTAGTGTGTATATTGTGTATGCATTAGTGTGAGAACGTGAGGGTTTTTGCTAAAAGTTAAATTTTGAGGCTGACCTGCAAATGAACATCCATAAAATAATGTGGATGTTAACTGAAATACTTTATGAACATTTTAATGAAGTTTGTTTACTTTCTTAGATTTAAATTATTATGCATTTAATGTCGAAAAACATGCATCAGAGTATCCTGAAACTTTGCAGTATATTTTATTAACTTATTCACGACATTTGCAATCTGTGCCTTGCCAAAATAGTGGACACAGTAAAATGCTGAACAAATTTTGTATCTAATATAATATTTAAACATAATTTGGTATATGCAAAAATGAATCTTTTCTACCTGTATTGTATTTTTATTTTATGTTTACGTTGTCAATTTTTTTATAATCAGATGATTTAATAGGAATCAGTTTGGAAAACTGCTATGGAATCTGAAAAGAATCAGAAACTTTCACCATCTGCAGTTACTGCTTCTTTGCAAATGGTGAGTAAATTTTGATCTTTGAGTTACTTATTTGTAGTCATGAATTTGAGGTGTTAAAATAGGAATACACAAAACATGTAGCTAATAAAGACATACACAAAGTAATTGTGCAAAAAGGTAAGCACTATAATTAATTTTATGTATTATTAAATGAAATTTAGCTTTACTAGAATTTGCTTATTTTCTGCAAACAGCAAACACTGTCATAAGTTTTATGTATTATTAAACGAAATTTAGTTTTACTGAAATTTACTCTTTTTAAAAACAGGAATATATTTTTATTTAGAGAATAATTGGCATATATATCTTAAAAAATCAGATTCTATAGTAGAATTGGGTGCCCCTTCGATTAGCGACAAATTTTGTTACATTTTGACGATGAAACCTCATTTCTGGTTACCATGATTGTTTTAGCTTCCTGATCTTGTTTAAATGAAAATGTATTAATGTGTACATGATGCAGTGCAATTCTCTGATGTTCTTTGAAGTGAAAATAGATCAATGTGTGCATGGACACAGAGTTTGTGTAATTCTTTGACTTCTTATTTTGGTTTTGTGTAGCGGCCATCTTGAAATTGTGCCTTCTTGGCGCCGATCTTAGCATCAGTAAAGAATCGCCAAAAAACAAGGGGCACCCAATTGTAAACTTTTACCAAAAATCAATGCAAGTAAATTAATAAATGAGATTTCTTTAAAACTGGGACCTTCCATGGCTAATTTTTCTCTTTTATTATCTAGATTCCAAGTATGGTACAAAAATGGCACTCTTAACTTTATCCATCTACACTGCTATTTTAGGTTTAATCCTAGTATCCGGTGCACAAGGGATTTGGCGACTTTATGATGAGCAGTAAACGGGACATATACGATGAGTATTTAAACGGGTCATTTTGGTGTTGGCGATAATTTTCAAAATCGCATCAAGGATGCCGTATACTAGGATTTTACCCTATTTCCATAATTAAAAAAATTGCACGAATGCAAAAAATTCGTGAATCTTTAAACTTGGTAAAAGAATTATTTACGATCGCGAAGGGTATCTTTACATTATGGTAACTTGGCGTTTTTTGAAAATTTGGCGACCAACTCTCCTACAGCAACCCTCTATTTTTTTTTTCCCGCCGCCATTTTGTCTTCACGAAGTAAAGACATGTTTCTTTTCTTTTTATCTACTGAACACTTCTTCCAACAATCTACTAGCCGAATTACACTTATGCTAGAAATTTTATCTAACAAAACTGCTTAATCATGACAAATATTCACTGCAAAATTGGGAAAAAGTGCACAATACCATACTCCTTACGCGTTTTTCAAAATAACACATACACATAAACCATGTACACACGACTTATTTTTACTTAAAAAAACATCCCAGAATTGCACAAAAATGGCATTGCGCACACTCTTCACTATATCCATGTACACTGCTTTTTTCTCATAAATTAGAAAAATTTCACGAAAATACATGACAATTTTCTCAATCTTTAAACCCGGTAAAAAGAACATATATGAAATTACCTGATCGCGAAAAAGTATTTACCCTTTCCAAATATGAACATTTCCACATATAAAATAAATAAAATATCCAAAAACTTTTACCTCTAAATCATCTATTACATTATACACGTCACCAACGAATTCATACCGCAACCATTACAAATACTTAGTGTCAAATATTTAAATTATTTCCATGCACGTTTACTTACTTCAACTAAAACGTATACCAAATTCCTACAAACATAAAATTCACAAAATAACTATCATTTAATTAAAATATAATTAAATTCAAAAACACTACTTAAAATATAAATGAGCACATACATTAAATTAATACATACATAAATACCCATTTCGAATTCACTTTAGTTACGGCCATGGGATCCAAAAATTCACGAACACTGTTTCACACAACACAGAATAAAGCCAAATACAAAATTTCCAGATTTTTTCCCGATTTCCCCCTTTTCCGATTAAAGAACCGTAATTCGTCCATTAATATCACATGACATATCCCATGATCTCTCATTTCCCTCACACAAAATAATGCGTAATCGGAACTGAGTACTGCTCACATTATTACCAAAGTCCCAGGTAGTAACCTTTATCGCCTCCAAAATGTCGCCAAACTACCAGTTACCATATTGTAAAGATCAACCCGAAAAAGTATTACCCTTTCCAATATGAACATTTCCACGTATAAATAAATAAAATATCCAAAATTTTACCTCTAAATTATCTATTATATTAAAAACGTCACCAACGAATTTAACGCAAACTTACAATACTTAGTGTCAAATATTTAAATTATTTCCATGCACGTTTACTTCAACTGAAACGTATACCAAATTCCTACAAACATAAAATTCACAAAATAACTATCATTTAATTAAAATATCACTAAACCATGTACACGTCGACTTATTTTTACTTAAAAAGGTAAGCACTATAATTAATTTTATGTATTATTAAATGAAATTTAGCTTTACTAGAATTTGCACAAAATTCTAGTAGTCTTTTTACTAGTATTCTAGTAAAAAAAATTTTACAGAATTGCACAAAAATGGCATTGCGCACACTCTTCACTATATCCATGTACACTGCTTTTTTTTTCATAAATTAGAAAAATTTCACGAAAATGCATGAAAATACTCAACGTATACTACTCAAACGTATTCCAAAATACTACAAACATATAACTCACAAAATCACGATCATTAAATTAAAATATAATTAAATTAAAAAACAGTACTTAAAATATAAATAAGCACATACATTAAATTAATAAAAATTAATTACAATTCTAATTACTTTAAACTAGATCATTGCTAATAACAATTTTCCAATATATACCATTTTAATTTATTTACTACCCTTACATTTAGAACAATGCATAAAAATAATATCCTCAAATGATTAAAAATACTAACTTACATAATCTTCTTCAGAATCTTCATTACGTGGCACGCACACTTCCCTACAGAAGAGTTCCAATCGGCTGCAATACTACTGCTAATTTCTAAATCCGAAATCCAGTACTCAACTTATTATTAATTATACGTATTAAAAATTTAGAATTCACTTTAGATAGCGCCATGCAATCCGAAAATTAATCAACACTATTTCACACAACACACAATGAAGCTTAAATGCACAAGTACTGCAGATGTTTTTCCAAATTTACCCCCTTTTCCGATTAAAGAATTGTAATTCGTCCATTAATGTCACATGACATATCTCATGATCTCTCATTTCCCTCACACAAAATAATGCGTAATTTGAACTGAGTGCTTCTCACATTATTACCAAAGTCCTAGGTAGTAACCTTTATTGCCTCCAAAATGTCGCCAAACTACCTGTTACCATATTCCAAAGATCACCCCATTTTTGTAATAAATCCAAACTTGAAACTCATTTCTTAAAATAAAATTCCAATATCAGTAATCTACTTATAAAAATAAACTTAATCTTTGTAAATGTTAATTTCCAATAGTTAAGCCAAATACTTTAAGAAAGATATAAGATCATTCTTTTAATAATAGTAAATATTAAATTCTATAATCAGTTGAGAATATTAATTGAAATTAAATAAAAAATCATCAGCCTAAGAACTTCCATGTATAGAATACTTGTTTGTTGGTCACAGAAATTTAATTCTAAATTTAGAGAAATATATTGCAAGACAACATGGCTAATTGGGAAAAACATA